CTTGTTTTTGTGTAATTTCTTTAATTCAATTTTTTTATTATAATTGAACTGAAGTTTAAAAATGAACTAATTTATTTTTATTTTAATAAAATAATGAATGATCAAACTGTTAGATATTATTAAACTTTTAATAAAATAATAATCATAAAGGTTATTTTTTTTATTTGTTTTAATGATAAAAATACCGCAAAATTTTAGATATCAAAACCATGAATTCAACTAAAATACTGAATTTAAGTGTTTCAACATATCGTGATATACAAAAATTCAATTAGTCCTATATAAATAAATGATTAAAAAATACGTATTTTGGTTAATAAACTATTGATTAATATTAATACACGAATAATTAATTAACTAATGTGAATGGGGTATCAAATAGAAAGTTAAATGTAAGAGGTAAGGTAATAAATAAATATCAAGAGGATTAAAGTTAATAAATTAAAAAGGTCTAAAATACAGGCTATGTCGCTCGAACACCTTTACATTAACCATTAGTGTAAAATCACACGTAATTTAGCTGTTTTTGTATCCTTTTATTTGGAATTACTGTTCTCTTTTGAACCCCTCTTTCTCTGTATATATAGTTTCAAATATATATAGAGAGATCATTTAGGTTTTTAGTTTTAAGAACTTTTAATTGTAATTATGAGAGGTTGATTAACCATTTTTATTGTGGAGGGCATTAATCATAGATATTATCATCTTCATTATTTTAATTTTAAAGAAATACATGAAACAGTTTCATTAAATRTTATATRAAACAATTTCATAACCATATATGAAACAAATTCATCAAAAAAAGTATTATATGAAACAATTTCACAAGATTAAACAATCTCATGAAAAAATTTCATAAGATTAAACAATGAAATCGACGTACGAGGATGGTTTGTACGATTTGTACAAATGAGGGTGGTTTTCATTTGATCGCTCCTATATATATAGGGGAGCGATCAAATGCAAACCACTCAATTTKTAYAAACCRTGCAAACCTCATTCAACCAATCATAATTTTTCATTTTGTTCATTTTTTTGTAATTATGAGAGGTTGATTAATCATTTTTATTGTGGAGAGTGTTAATCATAGATATTTATCATCTTCATTATTTTAATTTTTAGAGAAATACATGAAACAGTTCATTAATTTTAGAGAAATACATGAAACAGTTTCATTAAGTATTATATGAAACAATTTCACAACTATATATGAAACAACTTGATCAAAAAAAGTATTATATGAAACAATTTCACAAGATTAAACAATTTCATGAAAAAATTTCATAAGATTAAACAATGAAATCGACGGATGAAGGTGGTTTGCACGGTTTACACAAATGAGGGCGATTTTTATTTGATCACTCCTCTCTCTCTCTCTCTCTTTCTCTATATATATATATATATATATATATATTGTATCCTGTGGTGCTCTCTTTCGGTCGTAACGACGTGACCTTTAGCAGCACACACACACTTCTGGTTCATTTTTAGGAGGGGGAGGGGGGTTTCTAACTTGGAAAACTATTTATGAAAGAAATAGATCCCAACTACTATTTGTGACCATTCGTTGACAAATCCAAAAACCCAAATTTTAAATGTGTGTATGTAGGTAGCAAGGAAAAAAGAAATCAATTCATTGCTGTTGAGGTATCCAAAAACCCAGTCGGAAATAAAATCGTTGCCACTGGGTTTCAATCAATCATTGAGTTTGGATTGAGCATTCATCAAGTTTTGACAAAGATAAAAGAGATTATGGTTTCGATTGCAGAGGTGCATTAGTAGCGAATTCGAACAAAATGCAGGATTGTGAAATATTTTGGTGTGATTATTTAGGATTTTCATTTTCAAAGTTGAAGAAATGGAGATGAATATTTGATTTTGAAGTTAAAAAAGATTGTTCTAGGATTTTGATTGTGAAATTGAAGTCAATATAGGTAGGTTTTCATTTTGTTAAAAAGGGATCACAATGATAGAAGAACATGAGTAATTTCAGACATTAGACAAACAGTTTGACTGATTCAAAATTCAGACTTTAACATCACCTTTTATAAATCAGAAGTAAAATAAGACTTCAGATTTCAACATCTTTTAAAAAACAAACGTCACCTTAAGTTCTTAGAAACCTCATCTTACAATTAATCCATTTTCAAAAAAGTAAAATTAATATATATTAAACTTTTCGACTTAATTTCACATTTTGCACAGGTACACCGCTATGTTAAAAAAAATCTACCATTAAAACTAAAATATTACATCTTTAATTTTAAATTGTTATAAAAAATTTGAATTTAGCAAATTATACTTCTAAAATGAAAATAAAAAAATATTTAATTTGACGCCCAAACCGATATATTTTTTTAGAAATTTTTAACAAATCTTCAAATGAGCAAAATATTTTCAATCACGTGTAATTTTTATTCTCTTCGAACATAAATTTGAATTTTTGTTTCTAATAAGAAGTTTAATTAATATTCTATTTTTGGTTTGCAATAAAACTTTATATTTGTCGTATTACATGTATACATAATTACTATATTAAAAAATATTTGGTAAAATCAAGTAAAATAACTTGTATTTTTTTATCAATTTAATATTTTAAATTCAAGCTGCTTTATTATAATATACGTATAACTTCTTAAAACTCCATAAACTTTATAGTAGTGGTGCTCAAAAACCCGACTAATCCGGCCAACTCAACCTAACCCAACACGAGATAACGCAACTTGAAGCAACCCGATGTTTATTCAAGTTGTAAAATTTTCAAACCGCAGGTATTGAATTTGAATTGGGTTACAATCAGTTGAACCCAATCCAACTCGATAAATCTGATGAACGTGATATCTTTTTATTTTTTGGATTAATATAGTTGTAAAATCTCTATTATTAATATGTACATTAGGCAATTACACCATCATCTTTATAAACATATATTTTCAATCTCTTCTTCATCTGATATCACTCATTCATATATATGTTCAGTAAATGTGAATATATATATATATATATATATATACACACAAATTGAGAAAAGTAGTCGATTGTGATATACTTAAGATTTAAGAAGTATGGATAAGTTATACCAACTGATTGATGATGAAAAATAATTACGAGTAGAGAAAACAACGTATTCAAGGTTAGGAGAATATTTTGATGTATCAAAGTATTAACACGATCAACTCGTACTGTTTGCGTTGGGTTGGGTTTCACTTTCGTTAAGGTTGGGTTGGGTTGTTCAAACGCCTTCAACCCGATCAACCTAAGTTAAACCATTTTATACATATTTAATTTGGTAATTAAAGAAATTATATGAGCAAATTATTCTCTTTAATTTGATACTGATGTCGATGTATTTATTTTCAGTTTTTTAATTATGTTTTCAAAACTTCGAACATGAATATGATCACATTTCGAGTATATTCATACTAATATTTTTACTGTACTCTAAGGAGGCATTCGGTTTATTTTAGGCAATGAGAATAAAGAATAGGCATTCGGTTTATTTTTTCATGATTTATTAATTTTAGAGAACATTATAAAGAATCTATATTGCTCCAACATATTTTTTATAATGTTTTCTAAAATTAATAAATCATGAAAAAACTTTAAGTTTAGAGAATTCTCTAAAACTTGATATAGAAAGAGAAAATATTATTTTATTCAATTCCACCAACGAAATTGAATTTAATGTTTTGAAACTTGATTAAATTCTCTAAGAATTTAATGTTTCGAAATTGAATAAATCTTAATCAATGTTTTACATTCCATTACATTGCACATATATACAACTATATATATATATATATATATATTTATATATATGTATGTATGTATCTTTAAAATTTAATAAAAATACGCGGAACACAAATTTCTTTGCTTCAATTTAGTACAATTTTTCTTCAATTTCATAATTAAAAAAATTATGCAATAATTTATTCAATCTGTTATTATATGTTATTAATTAAAGATTAAAATAATAAAATTAAAAAAATGTTATATAGTTTAGCAATTTATAATATAATTAATAAGATACTGAAATATATTTATACATGATTTTGATAAGTCGGTTTCAAACGAGAACAATAACTAATGTGAGTTTATGTTAAACTTACGTCTAACACACTCTTATATTCATTGTGTTCTGCAATCAGATATGATTTTAATATCAAATCATATGTTACTATATAATTTAGAATTTTAATAATTTAATCATTGAAATAAAATCAATGTTTATATTTATAAAAAGGGTAACAATAAGTAGATGATATTGCAATCGTTGGAATTGCTTATGTGGATGCTTTCACGATTCAACGGAATTAGGTGAATTACAAAAGCAGATAATGTGTGTTTTAAAATATGCATAATATTTAGCACTAGTTTAATTAATTTAAATGAATTTTTTATTGATGGTATATATTAATTAATGTTGCTTTGTTATTTTATTCATAGTTGTGCAATAAAAGAATTCGTATATATGTACTTTAATTGAAAAAAAGCACATACTTTTGATCATATTTTATTTTTATAATAATGTTTTGGACGTATAATATTCTATTTGTATTTGCATACAGAGTTTGATATCTAGAGTGCTGAGTTCCAATACATGTAAAATATAACATGATTTTCTTAATAAAGTTAGCAACTAGGTGATCAATCACCTGAGATGCCTTAATAGTGATCTTAAACAATTCAGCCCTGGCGAACACTGGACATTCTTGACATCGACTGTGATAGGGATGAAGTTTCAAATATCGGTGATACTAAAGGCAGGTTTTTTTTTTGAAGTATATAATAATTATATACGGCAAATGTAACAAATAAACTCACACACCCTCCTCACCTATGGTGATGTTTGAACCCCTGACCTCCTAGAAAGCTAAGGGCTACGATACCGCTAGGCCAAAGGCCTTTTGGTTACTAAAGGTGGGTTGGTAGGAGGGTTTGATTGTATCATACATGATGGTGAGAGAAGGGGAATTTTAGGAAAAATTATCGCTGATACAATGAAAGTCTTCTAGAAATCCGAGTTTATTTCATTGTCATAGAAAGATATTTATATAACAATTTACAAATTATTAACCATCTTCTCCCCTTCAATTCATTACCTCATCTACCACGACTGACATATATCACCTCTAAATCCTCAATATAAACTCACAAAGCTACGCCATAACATGGATGACATGGGCATCTCTCAAAGTCGAGGAGGTTCAAGGAATGTGCTCAAGAAATCCGAAACCTTTATTTTTCAACTGATATATATTTTGACATTATTCCCTCGAAAGAAAATTGAACCAAATTCGTTAAATAAAACTAAAGAAGTTGCTTCCAAATATGATTTGTAGGGTATTGGTTATGTAGTGTGTGTTTGTATATGTATGGAGAAGAGATCTTTTGCAAAATACGATATTTGTGTGTGTGTGTGTCTCTCTCTCTCTCTCACACACACACATACACACACACACACTCTCTCTCTCTCTCTCTCTATGTTTCTATGTGTATGGAGTCATTGGGATATATGTACCGAAGAAAAGATTTGTTCTTGTTTCTATATATTTCGGCCTTTTTTGAGAACCGTGTGTTTTGTAATATAAAACACATTATATTAAAAAGAATGGTAAATTATGAAATTAGTGGTTATTTGCAAATATTCTCTCTCTTTTTATTAACAATATAATCTAAAAACTGGAACTAGCCTAACAAATAACTTTAACACATTTTGAACACCAGATAACTTAACAAAAGTATCACCAAGTAACCCATTGTAATCACAAGTGAACACAATCTGAACATAAAAACAACAAAACCAAAAAAAAAAAAAAAAAAAAAAAACAACAACAACAACATACATGTTGTAAGGAATTGGATACACATTGTGAACAAAATCAATAATCAAGTTTGAACATCCGTCCAGTATCTCCGGTGAACCTAAAATCAAATATCTATAGTATGGCAATGTAAACAACTATCGGATATATTGCTTCAATTAAACGTTTTAACAACCTATTTTCTTATTTTTTTTTTACTTATTGTGATTACCTATTTTGTACACATCATAATCACCTTATGAACACAATATGACACAACAACATCAAGAACCAAAAAAAAAAAAAAAAATCTAAAGATCCCTAAGAGAATTATTTAAGAACCTCAATACTTATTGTGAACAATTAATTAATGTTTTATTTGAAGAGTTATCCATTTTTTATTTATAAAAGTTATAAGTTTCCTATTTATGGGGTATTAACTAAATGCATTTTTGAGTTGATTAAATTATCCTTACATTTATTTAGTAAATAACAAAATTATTTTAAATTAGTGGCTCATATCAGATCTCAAGGATCTCATAAATTATAAGGTTCTCATTTGATTAAACCCCCCCCCCTCTCTCTCTCTCTCTCTCTCTCTATATATATATATATATATATATATATATATATATGGGGTTTAAGGGAGAAAACCTCAAAAAAATGAAAAATTAAGGAACACACCGATAACCATTCATCTGGACAGTATGCATATGTACATACAAGTAACTGAAACTGTATTTTGGCTTTATGCATGTGTGCATGTTATGCACATATGCATATCAGACAAATTGTTTTCAAATGACTTGTATATACATGTACATATCATCTAGATAAACGGTAACCAGAATGTTTATCGATTTTTAATTAATAATTTTTCCTTGAACCTAACCTTATATATATATATATATACACGCATGTGTATAATGTGTGTGAGAGAGAATTTCTTTTTCTCTTGTTTTGTATTGAAGTGTGGAATGGATGTGAGGAGAAAAAAAAACATAACACACAGAATAAAAATAATAATGAATGTTGTATAAGGATAATAAAATACGATATGTTGTCTCCAATCTCTATGTCCTTTTCTGGTTTATTAATCATGTCATAACATATATATATATATATATATATATAGCCTTTTATTATAATCAGAAAATAAAGTAATGATTAAGTAGACAATATTCAACTTATTTATTAAATAAAAATTAATGTAACTTATATAGAGAACATCACAATGGTAAAGTTATATATATATATATGATTTTATACTTAAAATTACATTTAAAAAGACATATCATTCATACAATTTAAATAGGAGAACAATCAAATTAAATAAAGGGGAAAAGGTCAGGGGTGTAACTATATTTAGATACCTTAAAAAGGTAACTGATTAAACTTCCAATTAGGAATTCGACATCGACTCTCTACCTCTTATTTTATAGTTATTTGATCCACACAATTCAACATGAATCCCTTATAAATACGGACTCACACTCATAAACATAAATCATCGAACAAAGAAGCAATACGTGCTTCATTCATAATTACTGAGCCATACAATGGATAAACAACAGTTCTTCCTTTTCTTCTTTGCCTTTGGTTTTTTGGTCCCTGGTATGATAGCCAGGGCCTCCGCAAACGAAACAGCCGAGATGTTGGAATTAGCCGAGAAGGCCTCCGTGTACGTATTTAATTAATTTCCTTTTATTTACGTTACCGGTTTAAAATCCAGCAAAAACAATGGTGTTTTGTATATGAAATATAATAAGAAAAAAGTAATTGATATATGCATATGTATATTTTTCAGGCCTACAAGGAGGAGCCTAAGTGGCTGTGAACCAACGAACCCAATAGATAATTGCTGGAGGTGCAAACCTGATTGGGCAGATAACCGACAAGCAATGGCCCAATGTGTGAAAGGTTTTGGAACCGGAACCACCGGTGGTGCCGCCGGAGAAATCTATAAGGTCACGGATCCTTCCGACGATGACGTTGCGAATCCAAAGGAAGGAACTTTGCGTTGGGGGGTTACAAGACAAAGGCCAATCTGGGTGACCTTTGAGAAAGATATGTCGATCACTCTGAAACATGAGCTGGTGATTACTTCCGACACGACCATTGATGGCCGAGGTGCAAAGGTCGAGATTGCTAATGGTGCAGGTCTTTCCCTTTACCAGGTCAGCAATGTCATCATTCATGGTCTCCATATCCATGATATTAAAGAAACACCAGGTGCAACCATTGCAAGTGGAGAAGGGAAACCAGGACCAAGAGCAAAGGCTGATGGTGATGGTATCATGTGTTTTGGCTCTTCCAAGATTTGGATCGATCATTGCTCGTTGTCCGGAGGCCCAGATGGGCTTGTGGATGTCACCATGGGTAGCACTGGAGTGACCATTTCCAACTGCAAATTCAATGACCATGATAAAGTAAGGAAACTTGAATATAAAATTATCTTGAATTCAATGTACAACTACCTACATATACATATAGGTATATCTATCTATCTATCTATATTAACTTTGGAACATACATACATATATATGTATAGGTAATGTTGCTAGGGGCAGATGATTCGCATTCTGAAGATCAAGTTATGAAAGTTACAGTGGCATACAACAAATTTAGTACAGGATGTACTCAAAGAATGCCAAGGTGCCGATGGGGTTTCTTCCAGGTTGTTAACAACGATTATGATAAATGGGGAATGTATGCAATCGGTGGTACCTCCAAACCTACCATCCTTTCCCAAGGAAACCGATACGTGGCTCCCGATGATCCTAACAAGAAGCTGGTATGTGTGTGTATATATATATATATATAAACAAACTTCTATCATCATCATCATCATCATCATCATCATCATCATCATCATCATCATATATGATATATATGTATGGCAATGGGATGGATGTAATAATGGATATATGGTGTTTTAAAGGTGACAATGAGGCAACCAGACATCCCTGAGGCAGAGTGGAAGTCATGGAATTGGAGATCAACAGGTGATCTTTTCGAAAATGGAGCCGTGTTCATTGATTCTGGTGCTGATCCACAACTGACACCTGAACAGCAAGCCGGAATGATAGCACCGGAACCAGCCGCCTCTGTTCCAACGCTCACCAAAGACGCCGGATTTCTGACATGCTCGCCTGGAGCACCTTGTTAATTAATTAACCACCTCCATCATGCATGCTATCAAGCGGGTAGTTTGACCCATGCAACAATAATTAATTAGAGATTTGTTAGGATAAATAAATGTATATAATGATACGGAAATGCTATAACTTAGCTACCGTACTTGTACTGTTCCTTTTATTTTATCCAAGATGGATATATTCATGTGAAATAAAAAACCTAAAATTGATTAGAATTTTATCATGAATCTAATAATATATCGTTCCTTTTGTTATTCATCATGAATGTTATAATATAAATGTGTGATATATAATGAATAACACGTCTATATTCATCATTAATGTGTGATTCATGATGAACGTGTTATTCATAATAAATATTTATCCTGAAGAGAGATAAATGACATATTGTAATTAGTTTTAGGTTTCAAACAAAACTTTCTTTCATATATATATATATATATATAATGCAAACAAAACAATGAATTCGACAATTTTCATGGAACATATGACTTATTTGCAAAATATTTCTCCCCTGTATTGTGATAACTGGGTTGTGGTTAATGTTTTAGGGTTATTTTAGAATAAGTGGTGTTAGTTGAGGGGATTGTTTTGAAAATGCCTTATATTTTATTTCCTGTTTTTGAAAAGAAAAGATGGAAAATTTCGCAAGTTTTTTTGGTGTGTTCTCTGGTTCGAAGAAAGACAGAAGGAGAAGAGATTGATTCTATGCTCTGCTGAAATTTTGTTGCTGTTAAAACTTTCATCCTTTTATGATCATAAAATGAGTTTATTTTAAAAGTATTATTTGATTGGCTTTTGGTGAAGAAAACGTATGGTTTCATATTTGTGATTGGAAGGTGATTTTTTGCTATTAATTAGCATAATAAAATAACAATTGAATACAAATTATAGAAAGGTTAAAACCAATATCAACCATCTATCCGCTACCAAACATGGGGTTATTTCCTGCGGCAATATCCGTCGGAAATTAATATATCTAGAGGATTTCCGGCGGATATGGTCGCCGGAAAAAGTGGCGCCGGTGATTTATTTTCCGGCAGAGCCACCGGCGTATATTACCATTTTCCGGTATATATATAACTATTTCCAGCGGATTTTCGGCAGATCTTAATTTTAAAAAAATAATTAATTATCCGCCGGTAAATTGTTGTAATTAGATTTAAATACAAGATTAAAATAAGTAATTATGAAATTCGCCGGAAATCCGTCGGAAATTTCATCAGAATACATTTACCGGCGGAAGTCAATATAAGTTGACTTTTTTGTTGTCCCACGGAAATCCGCCGGTAAATTTCCGTCGGATTCCAGCCGCCGAAAAATGCGCCGGAAATAGTCTTTATTCTAGTAGTGGTCTAATCTAATGAATATTTGGTTTTATAAATATATAGATTGTTTCTTAATATGAGACGTTGATCATAATTAATAAACTATAATCATCTGCCATAAATATTCAAAATCATTTTTATGAACTTTTATCATTTGTATATCTTAATTGATTAGTTTGTATTATATAGAGAGAGAGAGAGAAAGCAGAAATTTCAAATAAAAACCAATTTAACATTGTGAGTCTTTCTATTTAGTCCAAAAATTCACATTAAATAGACTTTTTAGTTAAACCTGTTAATTAAGATGATGAGGGGTAAAAATGACATTCATTTCAATCATTGTCACATTTTATTATATATTTTTTTCTTTTATTTAATTAAAAACTTTTACCCACCTAATTGTTAAATTAAGGGGCTGTTTGGCAGTTGCTGAATGATTTAGTGCAAAATAGTTAAGTGGTCAGAATGATTAAGAGGGCCAGAATGGTTAAGTTCTGAATGAAATAATGTTGTTTGGTAACTGTTCTCTGAATAAGAGTAAATTACCATTTTAACCCTTTGTGCATAAACCCATAATTTCAACATACAGTGTGCATAAACCCATGAAATTGAAGTGCACATACAGCAGGCTTGTGAATCAATAACAATAAGGTATAATCAGGTTTGATAATCAATAACAATGGGTATAAGGTTCCTGAAATTTATGTTTGTTTCCTGGTATTTCAAGATCTGTTGTTTCAAGATACAGTATAACAATGGGCAGAATAATACCTGAGCGAGGAAAAGGATGGAGGCGACTGGAGATGAGCGGCGACTGGAGACGAGTGGCGACTGGAGACGAGTGGCGACTGGAGACGAGCGGCGACGTGGAGCGGCGACTTGCTGCGGCGATGAGGGGCGACGTGGAGCAGCGACTTGCAGCGGTGACGAGAGGCGGCGACGAGGGGCGACGTGGAGCGGCGACGTGCAGCGGTGACGAGAGGCGGCGACTTGCGGCGGCGACGAGGGGTGACATGGAGCGGCGACTTGCAGCGGTGACGAGAGGCGGCGACTTGCGGCAGCGACGAGGGGCGACGTGGAGCGGCGACGTGCAGCGGTGACTTGTGGCGGCGACGAGCGGCGACGTGCAGACCGGCGACGAGAGGGTGGGGGAGGGGCTTTGAAGACCGGCGACGAGAGGAAGGAGAGGGTGGGGGAGGAGCTGTGACTGTGAGCGACATGTGAGGAAGGAGGGTAAAATTGGAAAAAGAAGGATCTGAATGGTTGAGTGAACCCTTGGATGCAAAATGGTTAAGAGGGTGTTGTAACCATTAAGAGGCTTAATTTTTTTTGCCAAACACTCCTTACCTCTTACCGATTAAGAGGTTGGCTCTTAATGTAACCATTAAGAGCCAAACAAACAGCCCCTAAATTATCTTAAAAATTATTAATATTTTAATCAAACAAATTATATTAAAAAAAAATAAGAATTTCATTTTCTTCGATACTGGCATCCATCTCGATATAGTTTTTTAAAACCATTTTTAACATGAAATGCTATGTATGTGTAATATTCATTATAATTTTTATGTACATGCAGATGCGTACAACAGCTCAACATCACCAGTCTGTAACTCGACATCACCTTCTTCAAACTTTATTCAATGTCGTAAATACATAACATGGCATTGCGTTCTTCATCACCGTAATCCAACACCGATCAAGATCGATCGAGAACCCATCGAGACAGATCAACAACCTATCGAGACCGGTCGATAATCCATTCATTGACCTAGTGTGTTTATGCGTGTAAAACCATAACTTATCATCTTCATTTTCTATCAACAACCTATTGATTGATTTATTGCATGTTTATATGTATAAAACCATAACCTACTACTTTTAGTTTTTATCAACACAGATGTGAAACCCGTCTAAAACAACTAAGAAACCATCAAGACTGAATGAGACTAATTGAAAACCCACTTGTTGGTACTAACCGATAGATAAGGTCGTTCATAAAAGTGCCATGTGTAGTAATGTCTAGGTTATGTACTCATGTTTTGTTATTTAACTGTTTTAATGATTTGTCCTAATTAGGGACGGACCCAGAATTTTTTTTAAATAGACATCATTTGACCATAAAAAAAAATATAAGAATTTTTTTTCAAACGGTGGTACCGTTTGACTAAGAAAATGACCCTAACACGATTCGAACTTGGGTGTGGGGTGGAATAAAAGCCTTGCAAACCAACTCTACCAAATAAAACTTGTTCTCATTGTAGTTTCAAAATACATACGGAGGCACACAACAAAATAATACGGTTGCACCGTTCACGAAACCTAAATTTTTTACCCTTCGGCGGAGAAACGATACGGTGGCACGTGCCACCCATGGCACTTAACTAGGTCCGCCTATGTCTTCAAATGAGAAACCTAAATATTTTGACAACTTAGGAACCAACTATTCGTGATGAATAATGAAAATCATGCTGGATAATACTCATGAATATTTTGGGCTATTCATTATGAATAACTTATTTAATGGTTGGTTCCTAACTTCTCATATATTTATTTCCCATTCTCATTTGAACTTAATCTTGTATTTTGAACAACAACTCCTTAGCCTAAACAAAGCCCTTTAAAGGTAGAATTAGGAGTTGAAGCCATGCATTAAATGCTCCGCCACGAAGCAAGCTCTCCCGATACGACAGATGCGGAAGTGAGGCTCCCGAGAAAGCTATTTCAGCCTTCCGAACAGTTAAGGGCAATTCCTACGTCCTTCATCGGTCTGAAGAAAAGAAGAGAGGAGGAAAGTGGTTCGACCGAATTGGTACGAAAGTTGTAACATGAAAAAACCAAAAAACTTATTGCCCACTTCCTACAATCCGGCCCCCCTATAGGATTAAGTTTAGCAAACAACCAGTGAATGTGGGTGACAAGAAGTGAAGATTTTTTTACGGACTTGGTGCTCATAAATGCAATTGTAACCCAAAAGTCGGGCTAGGCAAGGCACTCCTGGTGCTTTGTGCGCCCATGCCGCTATCAAGAACGCCAAGGCAATTCGGGCCAAGGCTCTGTGCCTTGTGTCCGCACAACGCTTTCAAGAACGCCTAGTCTAGCCAAGCCAAGGCAAGCACGCCCGATGCTTGTCCCTGTATGACGCTATCAAGAACGCCTAAGCAAGTCGGCACAAGGCAAGCACGACCGGGGCCTAGTGCCCGCATGACGCTATCAAGAACACCAAGACAAGTCGGGCCTGAGAAAGCACGCCTGGTGCCTCGTGCCCACACGACGTTATCAAGAACACATAGGCAAGCTGGGCAAGGCCAAGCACGCCCGGTGCCTTGTGACCCCACGACCCTATCCATAATGCGTAGGCAAGCCGAACCAAGGCCAAGCACGTCTGGTGCCTTATGCCCGCACGACCATATCAAGAACGCCTAGGCAAGCCGAACCATGGCCAAACATGCCCGGTGCGTTGTGACCGCACAACCCTATCAAGAACTCCTTGGCAATCCGGGCCAAGGCCAATCTCGCCCGATGCCTTCTGACCGCATGATCAAACGGGCAGACTATTCCTGGTGTTGTGGCCGAGATTTCCCACATGAGGCACCCCTTGCCCGCATGCCGGGAGCCTGTTCCCGGCCCCAAAAATAACCCGTCCCAAGAACATGGGTTTTATGTCCCAACATTGTTCATATATGTTTCCGAAGGCTCACACAAAGTTTCGTCCAAATTCGTGCTCGTTTGATCATGAAATGGTCGTACATGCCTCCATCGGCGTTCCGGCTCCCCGGGCCCGACCCTGGGAAAATCCCGGGATGTAAAAGTACTTCTACTCATTCAGCGCATGTTTAAATATTTTATTGAGGTCTCATGCAAACTTTCGTGCAAAACCGGCTCCGTTTGATCGTGAAACGGACATAAACGCCCTCCCGAGGCGTCCCGCTCCACCCGGGCCAGCCCTCGGGAAAATCCAAACCCCAAATCCAGATTTTTTTTGTTGGAACCTTGATTTTTTATGTCCCCGAAGGCTCATGCAAAGTTTCGTCCAAAACCGACCTCGTTTGGGCCTCCTACGAAAATTATGTCCGACTCCATACGTTCAAATCAGCTCTGATAAAATTGTTGTGTATGCCTGAAATTCAATCCTGGACAGATGAGATATTCCACCATAACCCTTAGGAGCTCAACCACTATGCCACAACTATTGGTTCAATTTTTCTCTCTCTCCAGGATGTTGGCCGTCTATCCTAGATCTTCCCATTTCAAATAAGATCCCAAGATACAAAATGAGCAGCCGTTTTTCTCAAACATCCCCTTAGTGTTCGGATTCGATTTGGGTTCCTTTCATCTTTTTATTCTCATTTTTCTTGATTCTATAATCTATTTTGGGTTTCTTGGACCTAAAATCATTTTTCCTCATTGGCCACAATTGTTGGAAGGGTGTCCCAGACTATGCCTAGACTAAACCCGACAAACTGTGATTCGAATGAAATCAGCTCCGTTAAAATTGTTGTGTATGCCTGAAATTCAACCCTGGGCAGATGAAATATTCCTTCATATCCCTTAAGACCTCAACCACTATGCCACAACTATTGGTTCAATTTTTGCTCATTTTCGGGAGGGTCTCTCTTCTCATGCTGGAATCGTTCTTAGGAGTGGGTTGAGTTTCATTTTTGTCTCCTTTAATCTTCCTTTAGTTTAATTTTGGGTGGTCCTTCTTAATTAGGTTTTATGTTCGAAAAGTGGCTGTTATTTTGCCCTAGTATGTTGGTTTCGTTCTTTTTCTTGGTTTGGTGTTGATTTCCAATCAATTCTAGATCTGAAGCCGCCATCTAAATTTGCAACGGTATTAAAGAAAACGAATAGGGATCTACAACGGTGTTGAAGTCGCCTTCTGAAAAACCAGCCACATCCCCTTCAAGAGTAGAAGTATGTTCATAGATTTGAGGTTTTTTATTTTCCAAAATTACATTTGATTTCATGGGGTGAAATAACATATGAACGAAAATTGTTTGATTTTATGAGGTGAAATAACATATTTTATGACATTTTTATGTTTAAAAAAAAGGTCATATTGCTTACATCATAGGACATTATTTGAAAAAATATCTCATAAAAACAGGTATCCTATAAAAGATGTGTTCATAGAACATTTCCCAAAATTATCCTACAAGCTAGCTAAGACAATGTTTAATATTAAAAAAACATCATCAAAAATTTATTAAAATGTTTTAAAATGGCATATAAACTTAATACAACACATTTAGATAAGATATGACATTTTATTCTTTAATCCTATAAACTTAAGTCTTATAATATAGTCTTTCAGAACACTTAAAAATTATTGACATCATATAAATCCAATTTTATTATAATATCTGTAAACAAGTTTGACTTACTCTAAACTCAATTTCCCTATAACAAAACATGAAAATGAAGATTTTTAAAAACAAAATAGATTTCGGGGCCATTTACCAAACACTTATTCGGTAAGTATATATTGGTAAAATTTAATATTATTATTTACTTACCTTAGTCAACAGAAACGGCTTTCTATGCAACAATTTATCCGGTAAGAGCTGACCGTGGTAAGAGTCATTGCCCTCACTTACTTGGTAAGACTCTCACTCATTGTCTCGTTCAGTCGTTCTTACCATGTAAGATTTTTAGTTCTTACCATATTCATCCGGTAAGATAATATAACTTGGTAAATACTTACTCAAATAAGCATATGATAAACTGTCTTATTATTATTATTATTATTTTGCTTTTGAGAATAGAAAGGGAGTAAATGAAGTAGCATGTTCTTATGTCACCTAAACGTTATGCACCACCAACATCACAAAAATCATTACCTTTGATAAATTTATATGCTTAAAATGCAACTCAACCACATACTCCCTCCACGTATTATCCCACACCCACTCCACTCACATTCTCTTTGCTCATTACCCTTTTTATATGCACCAATAACCCCTCCACATTTCTCAACCTAACTAAACTACTTACACTCTAATGGCATCTACTACATCTTTTGCCTTTGCAACTCTATTCATTGCCTATTTGTTGGCTACACCGACTTTCTTCAGGGAAGTCGCTGCAGCGGGTGAGTGCGGTAGAATACCCATTCGATCTGCCGCACTTAGCTTGAGCCCGTGTTTAGGTGCCGGTGGGAATGCTAGGGCTAAGGTACCACCTATGTGTTGTACGAAAGTAAATGTTTTAATCAAGACTGCTCCGAAATGTCTTTGCGCAGTCTTGCTCTCACCATTGGCTCGAAAGGCTGGTATAAAGCCTGCAATCGCAATAAGCATCCCTAAGCGATGCAACAACAAAAATAGACCAGTCGGAAAGAAGTGTGGGAGTAAGTAAACATGTTATAACTATTATCAATTTGCATTCATATGCTTATGTATTTATTTGTTTTCTTGTTCATTGCAGGATATATTGTACCATGAAGACAGACATAATGAAAGTTACGATGGCATATATAAGTCCATGCTACAAATAAATTGTTTACGGTTGGATAAGAGTTGCTTTTTGTCATTGAGTAACCTCGGTGTTCCTTGATGGAAGCGAACGTGAATTTAGTTTCCCAATACTTGTAGCTTTTTCATATGTTGGACTCTTCGACATAACTTGAATAAAATCTTCGTGTTCTCTTCGATTGCATTCTATTTGAATACATCTCATTAAAAGTTTTTAAATGGTATATATGAATAGGGTGTAAATGGGCCTAGTCAAATTGAGTAGTAAGTCATTTGAACAGTGGCGGATCCAGGATTTTGGTCTAGTGGGGGCACCTTTAAGGTAGCTTAAACGTCCATAAAGTCGCCCGATGTGTTTTTAGCCTTATTCCACCATTCCAAGAGATTTTTGAAGTTTTTTGGATTATTTTTAGGGATTTTTTAAGGGTTTTTTTTATCAATTTCGAGGAACTTTTCAGTTTTTTGGTTGATTTCAAGATACTTTCTTTAGTTGGTGGGGGCCTAACAAGAAATTACGGAGGAAAACCATGGTAGAAAGTAAAAAAAACAACTTTTACCCTTAGAAAATTCATTTTTTTAAATTTTTTAATGGGGGCCTTTCCCCCCACCTTTTACAAGGTAGATCCGCCCCTGTTTGAACTCGACTCGAAAAAATATATCAGACTCAACCTCGAATATTTTTTTCGATATTTGAGCTCGAACTCAAGATTGGTTACCTCGTTTTATTTTGCTCAAGCTTGATGATTTTATTATTTTAATTATATAATGTGTAACATATAAGTATGTTTGACTCAAAAAAGTGTATAAACAAATGGCTCGGCTTAACTCAACTCGTAAAGCTTAATCGAGCTTTTAAACAAGTCGATTCGAACATTGTTGTTATGGAGTTCGACTCGTTAAGTTAAGCGAGCTTAATTTAAGTTGCTATATCTATCTATAAACAAAAAAAGTTCAGCAAATATGGTTATATTCATCACAGTAACTTTTGTATCCTGCTCGTAAGTTGCTAATTTTAATACCTCAAGAAAGAAACTAAAAGGGATTGTTGCCATACAAAATCGAAAATCGGGATCAATATGTATATCTGGTTTAAGGAGATATACCGATTGCATTTCACGCACCAACCATCCGTGTTTTACTTCTCATCACGAGCTGAGCCTCCTTCGACTGCCTTTGTTTTCTTGGCTTCTTCAACTCGTCTTTTCTCTAACTACTGCCATAGATTTTGACACAAAAAAATTAAAAAAGAGATTAAAAATGAATAATAATTGTAACAAGAGCAACCAAATAGACAACTGATACATAAAATATAAGCCTTTAGGCCACTACAAAGATGAAATATTGTATACTTTGAACTTAATGAGTTAAGATGTTTACCGAGTGATGGTAAACAAACGAAGAGGAGATGAACCAGATAAAAATCAAGCCTGAATATCAGAGAGACACAAATAAGTACACATACAATATTATATACTTCAAAAAAAAATACACAAACAATATCACTATATTTTGTGCGGAACCTGAAACACAAGACCGATGTTATTCATCATCTAATACCAGATGCTTTGATGAGAACAATTCATATTCTACATCATATAACATTCATAGTGAAAAGGTAATTGGAAAAGTAATCTTTCAATATCATTTACATAACTATATATACAAAGGAGATGCACAATTACAGGAGATAAATAAGGTAAATTACAACAATCATTGGCTAAACTATAATTGGAATATATGCTGAATTAATGATAATGGCTAACTAATTATGTATAACATTATTATTGCTAATACACCCCCGCAAGATGGAGGTTCCGTCAGAAATGCCAATCTTGGATCTTAAGTGCAAGAAAGGAGCCCGGGAGAGCGGTTTAGTGAGAGCATCCGCTAGTTGATCTTTAGTGTTGATATGATGAACTCGAAGAGTACCGGCAGCCACCTTTTCACGAACGAAATGATAATCTAAGGCCACATGCTTCATTCGTGAATGATACACTGGATTAGCACACAAATACGTAGCACCGGTATTATCGCAATAAAGGAGAGGTGAGACCGRTATTGAGATACCAAGCTCTTTGAGAAGATTTTCGACCCATGCAAGTTCGGCGGCGACATTTGCAAGCGCTTTATATTCAGCTTCGGTGGAGGAGCGCGAAACCGACTTTTGACGAGCAGACTTCCATGAGATAATATTGCCGCCAAGATAAATGACATAAGCAGTTGTGGAACGGCCAGCGGAGGACACACCCCCCCAATCAGAATCGGAGAAGGCAGTGAGCTCAAGAGGTGAGTGTTTGCGTAAGAAAAGCCCATGATAAATAGTTCCCTTGAGGTATCGTAGCAAGCGTTTGAGAGCCTGCCAATGTGTTTGAGTGGGTTGATGCATGAATTGAGACAGTTTATTTATCGCAAAGGAGATATCCGGACGAGTAAAGGCAAGATATTGCAGCGAACCTACAAGCTTTCGATATGGCGTCGGGTCAACTTTGGGTGTCCCGTCCTCAAGAGTTAACACCTGTGTGGAGCATAAAGGTGTCTGAACAACCTTTGCGCCATCCATTTTATGCATTGTTAGGAGATCATGGATGTGGCGGTGCTGCGAAAGGAACAGGCCATGCGTGGTGGGTATGAGTTCAACACCCAAAAAGTGACTAGGAGACCCTAAGTCTTTTAGAGAGAAGCGAGAGGAGAGGCGCTGAACAAAGGTATTGACAAACGCATCGTTGTTGCTTGTCAAGATTATGTCGTCGACATAGACTAAAAAATAACAAGTGACCCCATCGCGATTGTAGATAAAGAGCGAGGCATCCGCATGGGATTTGAGAAAACCAAACTCGACCAAGAAGGTGGTGAGAGCCATATACCAAGCACGTGGTGCTTGTTTGAGTCCGTATAGGGATCGACGGAGCTTGCACACGTGTGTCGGGAATTGTTGATTGACATAC